GGTGGGCATGTAGTCTTGCCAGTTATTGTAATGGTGTACAGTGACATAGAGCACAATAGCATATGCAATGTGCTGCATAGATGAGGACGATGATGTAATTACAGTGGTTACACCATTGAGGACAAATAAGTAAATGTGATTAATCATTGAGCAGGCTATGTAAGTTATTCCATAATCAGGCCAGTCTTTTCATTCATTTCAGTATAGTGACAGTGAGATATACAGCTATATCTGCCACACCTGTGCACACCTGTAATTACAGAGCCATGAACATCATATGTTGTATATACAAGTAATTATTCAACATAGACCCTGTTTTTGTATTTTATCAAAGTATTTTAATATTTTGCCATGATGACATGATCACGACGGACATGATTTGTGTTGCAATGCATCAGTAGTACTAAGACAACTGTCACCACTAGTCACGGTATCGGCAGTGCAATTCCCGGCACTGTTATTATGCTGACATGATTCACTTGTGTCAGTCAGTTCAGGGAAATAGTTCTCCCATAAATGCACATTGTTGGAAGTGCTTATTACGATCACTGTATGCTATTTATAGACATAGATGTGATGACCCAATGTAGATTGCACATTTCAGAAAGGCAAATAAGCACATGTGATACCCCAGTGTAATGACACCTTATTCATATCTACTGTGTACCATACTCTCGCTATTCAACTGGTTGTTTTTGCACATGTTTAGGAGTTTGGAATGGAATGTAAATAAAACCAAATCAAAAATCCTATCTCCAACCATTCAGTTGATCCAGCTGTATTGAACAATGTTACAATTTTCAGAGATTTTATGTTTCGGCTGATATGTCCAGGGAACCTTGTTGATGAGAGGAAATATTGATTATTTACCATTTATATACTTGAAATATGCATGATTATGTATGTGCTGTATTTACAGTAATAAATGCACATAATTTATAACATTTTGTATTTTCTTTCAACCCAGAGAATTTGAACTGCATAAACATTTCTTTTATGACTTTTCATGACGAACAGATAGGTGAAGTGGTTCATCTCACGTCCATCTGTCAGATGATCTACTATTTGAAGTGGTTCATCTCATGTCCATCTGTCTGATGAACTACTATTTGAAGTGGTTCATCTCACGTCCATCTGTCTGATGAACTACTAGGTGAAGTGGTTTATGTCACGTCCATCTGTCTGATGAACTACTAGGTGAAGTGGCTCATCTCATGTCCCATCTGTCTGATGATCTACTATTTGAAGTGGTTCATGTACCATCAGTCTTTCAAGGAAAGAACATATGTACCACGAGCCCTGAGGTGTTATAAATGCCAGCGTTTTGATCTCTCATCACAAAATTGTAAAAGTTCAGGCTTGTCCTCGTTGCAGTGGAGATCATGTGCAGGGGTGGAAATAACCCATTGCCCGACGTCCGACACCAGTGTTTTCTTCTGTCGGGCAAGCAGATTTGTATATCACATTGTACTGGTGTCCAGTTGACTTTCCAATGTAAATTATGTTGTTTATTTTAAAAATCAACAAGAAAACAGCCGGTGTAGTGGAAAAATTATCAGGGCAAGTGATTTTACATGTGCCACTGTACCGGTGTACACTAGCAATTTTAAAGTTATTTCCACCCCTGATGTGCATGATAACTACCTTTCTCAAGGTTCTTGAGAGGCATATAAAAGTTGCTATTCAAGTAAAAGACAAAATAGTATGGATGTCAACTTCTTTATTGTATGCACTCGTTTCTGGGCTTTTCCTTGACCCCTTGACAGGTTAATGCTAACTAGCAGATATATACTAGCCACATAAAGAAACTGTGCATTGTCAAAATATTATCCCAGTTGATACGTACGATAACAATGTCAAAGGTACATATAAACTTTAATGGAGGGATCATGAGACCATAACAAGTCGGGAAAATTTCAATTGAAAAGGTGTCAAACGACCATGTCACAAGCTCAATAACGGGTACCGGTATGTCCACCATCGGCATTGAGAACAGCAAAGCATCGACAACGCATAGAGCCTATCAAACGTGCAAGGAAGGCTTGTGGGATTTTTGTCACGCCAGATTCTCTCCAGTTCTGTTGCAAGGTCAAGGACGTTATCTGGCGGATGAGGAAGACGGCGTAGATGTCGATCTATCTCGTCCCAAACATGCTCCGGTGATCCGGTGAATTTGCAGGCCAAGGCAGTAAGTCAACGTTGTGGTGTTGCAAGAAATCCATAGCACCCCTTGTCGTATGAGGGCGGGCAGTGTCCTGTTGGAATGTTAACCCAGTGCCATGACGTTGCAGAAAAGGAATTGCCACAGGTCGAAGAATCTGATCCCTTTAGCCCACACCAGTTAAGTTGCCCTAAACAATCACCAAAGGAGTTCTTTGGCGTGCTGTTATTCCACCCCAAATCATCACGGAACCACCACCAAGGCGATTCCTCTCCAAGACACAGGCCTATGCATAACGTTCTCCCACGCGTCTATATAGGCACGTTGACGTCCATCACTATGGGAAATGTTAAACCTGGAGTCATCTGTAAAAACAACATTTCTCCACCAAAACAAGGGTCTGCGGACATGATTTCGGCGAGCTTGTCGATGACGTTGTGTCAGGATAGGTCGTATGGCGGGACGTCGTGGTCTGATCCCGTGATGACGTAAACGTTGTCAAACTGTGTTGGGGTGGATACGGCGAAAGAATCCTGGGATGGTTCGGGCAGTCATCACTGTCAGTCTGGAAACCTGTGGCGAAGATGGGTCACCCTTATCATATGTCCTGTCTTGGCGTTGTTACGTGGACGTCCAGAACATGGCCGACCGATGACGTCATTTTGTGTTCTGGTAGCATCTCACCAGTGCAGAAATGGTGTTCTGGTGGCAGTGGAAATGTGCAGCCACTTGTCGTTGAGACATTCCCCCACGCACCATCCCAATGGCCTCATGACGTTGTGCAGACGTGAGCCTTGGCATGCTATGCGTTTCAATAGCCGTTTAATTTTTTGAACGATCACAAGGGCAGGGGTTGAGCTTTCCAATGTGACAGTATTGTGTGGCATTCATTTGCTGTTTCTCTTTCCCGGAATGCACGTGCAACAACGTATTGCACGTCTCAAGGACGAACCGACTGACATCACGGAACGTGGCACATGCATGCATGTTGGATACATGTCAGCAATCTCTGAGTTTAAATCCTTATGTCTACACAGGTTTGATAAATTTAGATTTTAAAATTTTGTATGCACAGTTTCTTTATGTACCTAGTATATATACATGTACTACTAATGTACATCAAGCCAGAGTGAATTTAAGCATGTACATATACAATAAACAGGATTATGAGATTAAAGAGAATTGATATACAAAAGCAGATATGAAGAGGAAAACTGTATATGGATAGACAACTTCTTTGATACAGTAGATTCGACGTTTCGGTGTAGATTCTAACACCGTTATCAAGCACATGATACATAACGTGCACAAGGAGACATATATATATATATATGACGGGTATTTGGGTTTATACAACAGAAGAAGTTGATGTACGGCGTGTTGACTGTATGGTGGTGTTACAGTAGATTAAGTGGGTAAGTGATAGAAGCCAGTTGAGTCTAATTGATGGGTTGGCGTTCTTCTTGCTGTTGGAGGGTCGATGCTATGGTTCTGTCTACATCTCAGAACTACATACATCAACCTCAACGGCTATCCCAAACACCTTGTAGACTTTTCCTGTACATCAGTGTGTTAAGCATTCACCATTTAACCTTATGGTTGAGTGGTTTTGAAGTTTAGCCCGGTTCCCCCATCAACAATAATGAACTAGCCCATTAAGCTTGAGAGACTATGCAGTAAATTAATCTGATACACAGAATAACAAATAGGATTGCTGATAAATGTTAGCGCTTGGGGGAATTCAAGTGGTTTCAACAGCTGGGCTGCGCTCATAGCACGTTCACGCAGCTTGGAGCGGGTTGTCCGGTGAATACTCGGTGAAAGCTTTGGTGTGAGCTATATACTGAGTCAAAAAGAAACTTCACAAAATGTAATTTGAAAAATAATGAATAATTTTTCTCTGATGATACATCTATGTATCCGAAATGGGATCTATCTTTCGACTCTAGAAAAACGTTAGCAAAACCCACTCAAACCCATCCATTCGTCGTGCAAATGACGTTGAGTGCCAAATCAGGTTTTGCACGTGCAGTCGATCACGTGATCTTCGCATCGAAGTTTTCTTCATATGCACGTGTTTGCATTGGCCTCAAAATTGAAAAACACTTTTAAACCACAGTTCTAACGGTACTTGAAATGCCACGATTGTCAAATGTGCAACGTGAACGTGCCGTTGGCATGTTGCAAGCAGGAAGATCAGTTATTGACGTCGCAAGAGCAATGGGATGCAGCCGTCGTACTGTGTATGACTTGCGAGGTCGTCTACAACAAACTGGCACCACTTCTGATCGCCCAAGGTCGGGTCGTCCACGTGTGACGTCACGAGCAGAAGACAAATCAAATCGTCCTACGTCACCTACGTGACAGATTTCTGCCGGCTACACGAACCAGGGCTGAGATGTTTAGAGGTCGACTGTCCTCACAGACCATTCGAAATCGGTTGCGGGCTGCCAATCTCCATTCTCGACGTCCATATCGTGGGCCAATATTGACGCCGTTTCATCAACGTCAACGTCTGCTGTGGGCCCAACGTCACCTCCGATGGACCCAGAGAGACTGGAATCGAGTCGTCTTTAGCGATGAATCAGGTTTACCCTCAGATTCGCGGACGGCAGGCATAGAGTCTGGAGACGACGTCGTGAACGGTATGCCCAATGTTGTGTACAGGAAGTCGACAGATTCGGGGGCGGAAGTTGCATGGTGTGGGGTGCTTTCTGTGGGAACAACCGTTCCCGACTTCTGGTCATCCGTGGAAACCTCACAGCTGCTGCTTACCGCGACCAGGTGCTCACCCTGAACTCGTTCCTTTCATGGCGGCTCATGGCCCAGGTCTACAGTTCCAGCATGATAATGCTCGGCCGCATACCGCGATGTTGACACGAAATTTCCTTCAAAACGCTGGAATCAACGTCATGGACTGGCCATCGAGGTCCCCTGACCTTAATCAATAGAGCACGTTTGGGATGCA